CAATTCATTCATTCATGTCAAAACGGCCTTTGGCCCATCCATTCATTCTTGTCAAAACGGCCTCTGGCCCATTCATTCATTTGTGTCAAAACGGCCTTTGGCCCATTCATTCATTCATTCAGATCAAACTGGCCTCTGGCCCATTCATTTGGCATAGCAACATTGTCCACCAATCGAATCAACGAACTTATAAAACTTACATAGAAGTAAGTAAGTTGGACAACAACAAATTTCAGATATCTTTGTTAAGATATTATTCACAGTGATCGATTGGTTGGTTTGCCCTGGAGCTCGACCTTACACATTCCATGAACACAAAAGGGTCACAAATGATTCAATCCATCCCTTAATTCACATATTCCTCTTTAGGCTTCATTCTTATCTCTTTGACTCATTTACAATGCTCAATGCATGCCTAAGAGTGCTTAGAAGCGAAAGGGAACGGAAAACGAAACATAGAACGCACTTTCAAAATTTTCAAAAATAGGGTCCCCGCTCGAGCGTGGACTTCCCCGCTCGAGCGGACCCAATAGGTCTGCAAAAGTTCTGGTTACATCAATTCTACGCTCGAGCGCGAACTCGTATGCTCGAGTGGAAGGTCATCCTACATAGCTCCCTGCTCGAGCGTGAACTTCCTCGCTCGAGCAGATGCCATGTCTGCAGAAAGTTCTGGGAGCACGTATTCCCCGCTCGAGCGGCGATTCCCACGCTCGAGCGGACATCATAAATTCTAGAAAAATCCAGAATTGTTCTTGAGCTCAATTTTGACCTTCCAAGGTTCAAAACCCATAAATTGGGTTCCAAAGCATGCAAACACATTATATAACATGAGTATATAAGCAAAGTGAGGTCAATTGCTCAAAATCATGGCCCAATTCTTCCAAATTAATCAACATTTCTTTGTAAACTCAAGGTTCATACATTCAAACTTTACATAGGCTTCATATCTTCCATAAATCAGCATGCATGTCCATTTTTTACCTCATTTCCATTTCAAATAGCACCAATGATGCTCATAAACATGAAAATTAACAAAACCATGCTTGCATGTATGCTTCAATGCTCAATTCTTCACGATTCACATATTACATGCTAGATTATGCAATTTCATAGCAATTCTCCACATGCATGCACACATGGACTTCAAATTCATCAAATACAACACAATTCCATTTCTTGATAACCAACCAACTTGAATTCACAAAATCACGACATTAAACTCATGAATTAAGGGTTGATTACTCACCTAGGAGCTTTAATCTTCCAAACTTATGCTTAATTCTTGAGTTACACTCCAAAATCTTCAAGCTTCTTGAGAAATCTTCAATCTCCTACACACTCTCTCTCTCTCTCTCTAATTCGGTTCTCTCACTCACTAAGGAGCCCAAAATCAATCAAATGAAATAAAATAGAGATATTGAGGTATAGTGCCCTTAAGGTAAGTCTCACTAATCAAAAATATCAATATTAAATAATTGGGCACTTAATTAATCGTTCTGAATCTAATTATTCTGATCCGAATCAATTTCAAATTAAATTTCACCGAAGGCTCTAAAAATTACGCTAATCACAATGGCGTAGTCAATTTCGGGTTTCGTGGCCAATAAGGCCTTCAATTAATTTCCAAAGCAGATATTCCTATGGTGAACAGATAGAAATTCAAAACCACATATTTTCACATAAATGGTACACATAATCATATTCATAATAAGGACCAATTAGCATAGTACGGAACAGGGTTATCACAAAGACCTCCTTGCTTCTTGTTCAGCTGCACCTCTTTCCATTTTACCAAATGAATTTTTCTTTTAGACTCATCTCCTCCCCCACAAAAACCTTGCTTGAATCCTATCAAGTTCCTTAACAACACACTTAGGTATCTTGAACCGAGACATATAATAAACAGATAAGGAAGATAAAACAGATTTGATGAGAGTGACCCTACCAGCATACGATAGTATCCTTCGCTTCCACCCCAATAATTTCTTTTTATACCTGTCTACCACTAGCTTCCATGTTTGCTTCTGACCTGCCAAGTGGCAACCCAAGGTACTTTAAAGGTAATTTATGACTCCGACAATTAAGTATGTTTGCAAATTCCTCAACTAACCCATTATCAACTCCCACCCCACAGATCATACTTTTATGAAAATTTATCTTCAACCTCAAGACCATTTCAAAACATCTTAAAATTTGTTTGATAGCCACAATCTCAGCCCACTTAGCCTCACAAAATATGATAGTGTCATCCGCGAACTGAAGATGGGATATGTTGACCTCACTAGAACCCACTACCACCCCTTTTATAATCCTCAATTCCTTAGCTCTTGACAACAAGAGATTCAAGCCTTCAGTCACAACATTGAACAAGAAAGGGGAAAGGGGAAAGGGGATCACTCTGTCTTAAGCCTTTTTGCAGACATAATGCGGCTGTCGGTGAGCCATTTACTAAGATGGAAATTCTAGCAGATTCTATACATTCTTTCATCCATCGAATCCATCGTGAACCAAAACCAAAATTAGCTAACATCTGCAGCAAAAAATTCCAGTTAACAGTATCATATGCTTTTTGAAAGTCCAGTTTGAGAATAATACCCTTCTTCTTTGATGTTTTCCGCCAATCCACCACCTCGTTAGCTATAAGCACTCCACCTATAATGTTTCTTCCCCCTACAAAAGCAGATTAAGCCTTATCAATCACAGTAGGCAAGGCTTGTTTCATTCGATTAGCCAAAACTTTGGACAACACCTTATGTGGGGAATTTATCAAACTAATGGGTCTGTAATCAAGAAAAGAGGTTGGATTCTCCTTTTTGGGGATAAGAGCAACAAAAGAACAGTTTACCTCATACCTTAATTTACAATTGCTATAGAACTCCTTCATAATGTTGCCTTTCACGAACTTCCACCCTTTTTTAAAGAACATCATATTAAACCCATCTAGGCCTGGGGCTTTGTTTCCATTACACTCTTTTACAACAATCCAAACTTCTTCCTCTATAAATTCTCTCTCCAAAATAGCACCTACTTGGTTAGCATCAGTCTTCTTAAAATCACCTCCAATACTTGCCCTAAACCTCCAATGTTCAGTAAACAAATTTTGGAAGTGAAAGCAAGCTGCTTGTTTGACCTGAGAAGGTTCATCCACCTCAACCCCATTAACCAAAACAAAAGCAATCAAGTTTCTGTTGTGTTTCTTAGTGGCCATAATATGAAAGAATCGAGTATTTCTATCTCCTTTCAACGCCCAGTCCATCCTCGATTTTTGCACCCACATCCACTCCTTTCTTTTGCTAAACTTCCAAATCAAACCCCTTATCTCCTTTCTTCATCCCTCTTCCACCTCAATCAGCACCCTCAATTCAGATTGTAAATCCATAGAATGTAACTCACTTTCAGCTTCTTTCAACTTTTCTTCTACATCACCAAACACTTCCACATTCCATTTTTTCAAAGCTACTTTTAAAACTCTCAGCTTCTCCATAATTATATAACTAGCCCAGCCTTGTACATTAGTTGAATCCCAAACTTTATTTGCTTCAACAAGGAACTTAGGGTGTAAAACCCAAGCATTGATGAACTTGAAAGGCTTTGGGCCCCAATCCCTATCATCTTCCATCAGCAAAATGGGGCTATGATTAGAAAAAAGTCTTGGTAACCCTCATACCTTGTATCTGTACCATTCTAGCCACTCAGGGTTAACCAAAAACCTATCAAGCCTGCTCTAACTTTGAGAATTGCCCCAAGTATATTGCCTTCCTAACATTGGGATATCCACCAATTCAAGATTGCTAATAAAGTTACCAAATTCACCCATGCCTCTGTCCCTCCTTAGACTCCCTTTTTCTTTCACTAATATTTTTAACTTCATTGAAATCTCCTCCTAGACACCAAGGATTAGGGATTCGAACAAATGCATAATGTGTTCTACGTATTGATGTTGAGGGGTTATCTTCGAAATTCGTTTCATGTGATTGATTACCACCAGATAGCTCTTGATGAAAATATGGAATGCGAAGAATGACCAGAACGAATCATTGACTGACAAGTGAAACAGTTGACAAATAAGTCCATTCCAATGGTGAAGGTAGAATGGAAAGAACACTATGGGAAGGACGCTACACAGGAAAAGGAGGATGAGATGCGGCTACACTATCCACATTTGTTTCTAGACGGAGGTAAAATAAGTTTGGAGGACCAAACTTCCTAAAGGGGGAAAGATTGTGACAACCTTGTTCTGTGTTATGTTAATTAATTATGATTATGCTTGTGAATATGTGTCTGAAATGATTTTGAGTGCTAATTGTTTAATTCTATGAGTCTGTGAAGTTATATCTATTTATCATAGGAAAATCGGTCCAATTCACTGCTATAATTTGAAAATTGAAGGCCGTAGAGGCGGGGCCGGGCTCTGCTAGGATAGCTTGAAAGTATAAATCTCAAACCTAACTCATTAATATATCAGGTTGAAAATATTAGTCCAGCCTAATCCTATAGCTAAAACAATCTTCACAAATCTTAGAAAAATAAGATTGGGCTGGACTGGCCAATGGATCGATGTCCCTGAATCAAGATCCTCTCATTCATCTCTTTTCTTAACTCCCTACATGCTTTCTGATATCTGATTAATTTGATTTTTTATAGATATGATATACTCAACAAATCTTAAAATGTAAATAATTAAGATAATAAAAAATGAGACTCAAAAGTAAACTCAACAAGCTGGATTGCACTGGTGACAGTCAAAGTCTTTTTAAAAATTAAATTATTGATTTTCTTTCGACATATAAAAATAAATATTAAATAAATAATTTTTTTTTATAAATTACAAAAGATGGTGATTTATGGTAAAGTATACGACAAAAGAAGTGCTAGCGGGTTGACAGATGCCATTAGGGTGACCGATCAACCATCGAAAGGTGGTCGAAACTTGTTGGAATTGCTGGCAACAAGTGATACGTATAAGTGGGTTACAATTATTTGCGATGTACAATGAATATTCAAGCAAGAAGAAATGCAACAATAATAACAACCAGGGATAATCTGAAAATGAAAATGATAAAAAAAGCAACAAAGTGAGTTAGAAGAACATGCCAAATTTGAATAGGGCCTGGTTTAGTGCGCTTGGTTGCTGTTATTGCTCTCAAGTGCGCACGGGCAGAAGCAGAACTGGTGACGGTAGTTAGTAATGAAGGCTGCAACAGTTGATCAAGGTAAGGCATATCAGCAGTCCCAAAATTTCTCCAAGATTGGCCCTTCATTTTAGTTTCCATATCCCCCACAAGAAGAGCTGCTGCACCTATTTCAAGGAAATCATGCGTACTCGTGTCTTGGGGACTCAGAACATGATCACTGCATAGTTGGGTTTTTTGAGCAATACAAGAAATCAAAACCACATAAATAGTTAAATCAAACTCTCTTTTCTTGTTTTGTTGTAGCAATAATAATCCCAAGAAAGCCAAAAGGTACAAACTGAAATCAATTACCTTTCAGATGATGACTGTTGGTCCCTACACCAGCGCCATTTCAGAACATCAAGGGCTATGAACTCAAAATCATCCATTCCATCACCATTTTCAACAATTGGTGAGTTTGAAACAGATATAACCAATGCCTCTTTGTTCTCCAAAGATTCTTTCTTGTTTGCCGAATTGAAAGATTTGCTCAACAAAGATGACAACGATGGAAGTGACTGCCTTGATGCAGAAGGAGCTCGAGTTTTGTGAACATGATGCAAGTTTAATTTTTTTTTTTTTTTTTTTTTGTTTGGTCAGTTTCTCTGGGTTTATCTGTATCTATGGTGATATAAGACTGACACTTTGATGACGTCATATATGTTTGTAAATATAAGTTTTAAGTTTTCTGTCCCATGTATATCTACACAGCTTTACGGATGTTGTATGTTTGTATTTGCTTCCGCTAGCCCCTACATTTTGTTTAATTTGTTCAAAGACCTATGGTAATCCCAGGATTACTGGCTAGTTACAGCACTAAACCTATAGGGGCGGGTTTGGGTTGTGACACTTGGACTTTATATGTATTGAGTTTAACTGATTTTATTGTAGTCAAGTATCGACTTGGAAAGATGTTGCTATTAAGGCATAAACTCATTCACATTTCATTTTATTTCATGTGATTACCCCATGTCATATGTTATGGAGTCAGGATCTAAGATTTGTGAATGCAGACTTGCATATGTCATCTTTTGTACAGTAAAAGAGAATCAATGAAATGTTAATATTGTATAAATTTCTATTTTTCCATTGAATATTATGAAGTGTTTTGTTATTATTTTAAGGTGTTACAAAACCGGCCAAACCATGCACTTGAACAAGCTGGTGCAAACTAGTTCACACATCTTTCTCCTTATTTTTCTAAACCATTGCACAAATCTTTAAACCAAACGGGGCCTCAAAATTGGAGAAGCTTAGATGTTTACACTAGGCCACTATTTCTCTTTGCAATTATAATGTACATATATATTATTTATTATTTGAATCTGTTTACTCTCGAACACTAGCATATCTAACAGTTTTATAAACAATATTAATATTAGAAATATATGTAAACATACATATTTGATAAATATATTTTTGTAAATATATATCTTAAAATACAACTACATTGGGGTGGTATGATAATATAACAACTATGCCAACTTCAGCTTTTGTTTAATTTAGTAAATATATATATATATATATATATTTTCAAATATCATGTACAATTAATATATTTTTCCAAAAATAAATATAAGTATATTTATGCAATAAATATGTATCTTAAAATTTAAATAAATGTATTTTAACCATTGTCTTATTTTTAATATTTTTATAAAATAATTATGACGTCGAGATTTGATTCTAGTTCAACTCAACGGTTGAACCGATAACCTCATCCACCTGATCCCTTTTCCAATTCGCTTACCGATCCAATTTTTAAAACATTGATTTCATAAAGGAGTTGACTTAATCTAAATTGAAGGGTATTGTTCGAACTAGTGAGGTCCAGGTTCCATTTTGATGATCCGTACGATTCATTTTGTAGGGTCCTTCGTATATATCATTTACAAATAAAATTAAGTCGATCCGATAATTGTAACCTATTCAATTTATCATATTTGTATCTCAAAAAACGAACGACAAGTGTTTTTAAAAAATATATTTTTTTTATGACAAATGCGATAAATTAGATAAGTTATGATTATCAAATTGACCTAAATTTTTTGTAAATGATATACACGAATGACCTTACAAAATGAACGATTTAGATCATCGAAACAAGACCCGCGGTACACCTCACGAGCCTTAACAACACCTTCCAATCTATATTATGGACTAGTAAGAATCCTAGTCCTCTCGATTCCTTATTTTTATTTTCAAAATCTTGGTAATAATTAACATTAGTTTTTCCTAAATTTTAGGGTTAATTACCAGTCAATCATATTAAGTAGGGGTGGGCACAGGTCGGTTGCGGCCACGGAACCTCCAATCCTCCATCCATCCGTCAGATTGGAGAAAATCAATCTACATCCGTCCGCCAATCTGACGGATGTGGATTGAGCGGTTTGGCGGTTTGGCGGATGGATATGAATCGGTTTTGTGGTTTAAAATTTTATAAATTTTCAACATAATTCAACTTGTGTACTTCCTCAAAAAAACAAGAAGAAAGTATTACAATCAATGACTTAAAAAAATATTACAATCACTGCATGCCTTATCCACATAAAGTATTACAATCTGTTGTTCTTAAATATAAAAATAATTCAAACCACCAAAACTATGAATAGAGCGGTAGTAGAGATTGTATGTCTTTGCATTGTTACATCTATATCTGTTTTTAAAAACAAAACCAACCAGCATATATCATATTTTCTATTTATTATTTTTAGAAATAGATTTAAAAACCAAAAAATATCTATATAATAAGGGAGAGTGGTTTTTGAACTCTGATGGGACTGTTATCTCTTTGTCAAAATGTGAACCCTTGGATTGATTCAATCCAACAGCAAAAAAATGTCCAGAAACAAATTATATTTCAATAGTGGATTTATAATGTTGATTCAATCCTACGGTGAGTTTACAATGGGGTTTCTTCTTCCCTTCCATCCCCCTCTCTCTCTCTCTCTCTCTTTCTCTCTCTCTCTCTCTCCCTCTCTCTCTTCAAAATTCAATCCTACGGTGATTCAATCCATCTCTCCCACTCTCAGAGTTTTCTCCAAACTACCTAGCAGATAACAGATCGGCAACAAACCAGCAAATCGGACCAGCAGATCAGCGACATACATAGCAAATCGGTGAGGTTCTTCAAAATCTTGACTATATTTGTTCATTCCTTTGTTTTCACATACCAGCCCTTTGTATATTACAGATTTTTTTTGTTCTTTTTCTTTGCAAAATCATAGAACGATTTTGGGTTTGCAAAATCATAGAACGATCGGCGACATACATAGAACGATTCGCAAAATCATTCATTTTCATACCAGACCTGTGAGTTTTGTTGATTTTTCTTATACAGATAATATAAAAGAATTTGAATGGTTGGGTTTCACGAATTTGATTTTGATTTTGGGTTTGGGTTTGGGTTTGGGTTTCGCAAAATCAACCCATTTACTATCATTTGGTTGTTACCAAAATGTTCGATAACCATTCTATATTCCTTGCTTATTAAGTGTTTGATAAAATATTTCAATGGAATTATTCTCTAAATCCAGTTGATGGTATCCTCTAAATTAATATTCCTCTAAAATGTTTCTTGGATGATTCCCATTATCCTCTAAATTCCATCAACTGGAATTATTGGGATAAAATGTCAGTATTGTTGGGTGGTGGGTCTAGAGATGTGAAGTTGATAACCATTCAATGGGTGGGTCTGGAGATGTAACCATTCAATTTGATAACCATTCCCAAAAAATATCTATATAATAAGGGAGAGTGGTTTTTGAACTCTGATGGGACTGTTATCTCTTTGTCAAAATGTGAACCCTTGGATTGATTCAATCCAACAGCTAAAAAATGTCCAAAAACAAATTATATTTCAATGGTGGATTTATAATGGTGATTCAATCCTACGGTGAGTTTACAATGGGGTTTCTTCTTCCCTTCCATCCATCTCTCTCTCTCTCTCTCTCTCTTCAAAATTCAATCTCTCTCTCTCTTCAAAATTCAATCCGACGGTGATTCAATCCATCTCTCTCACTCTCAGAGTTTTCTCCAAACTACATAACAGATAGCAGATCGGCGACAAACCAGCAAATCAGACTAGCAGATCGGCGACATACATAGCAAATCGGTGAGGTTCTTCAAAATCTTGACTATATTTGTTCATTCCTTTGTTTTCACATACCAGCTCTTTGTATATTACAGATTTTTTTTGTTCTTTTTCTTTGCAAAATCATAGAACGATTTTGGGTTTGCAAAATCATAGAACAATCGGCGACATACATAGAACTATTCGCAAAATCATTCATCTTCATACCAGCCCTGTGAGTATTGTTGACTTTTCTTACACAGATAATATAAAAGAATTTGAATGGTTGGGTTTCACGAATTTGATTTTGATTTTGGGTTTGGGTTTGGGTTTGGGTTTCGCAAAATCAACCCATTTACTATCATTTGGTTGTTTCCAAAATGTTCGATAACCATTCTATATTCCTTGCTTATTAAGTGTTTGATAAAATATTTCAATGGAATTAGTAGGCACACAAATGGAATTATCTCTAAATCCAGTTGAAGGTATCCTCTAAATTAATATTCCTCTAAAATGTTTCTTGGATGATTCCCATTATCCTCTAAATTCCATCAACTGGAATTATTGGGATAAAATGTCAGTATTGTTGGGTGGTGGGTCTGGAGATGTGAAGTTGATAACCATTCAATAGGTGGGTCTAGAGATGTAACCATTCAATGGTGGGTTATTGCTATTGCTATTGAATCAATATAATCAATATTGTTATTCTATTGGTGGGTTATTGTTTAATCTAAATTTTTAAAAATGGAATTATTCAACAAATTCAATGCTTTAAATACTAAAAGGATAATGGGAATCATCCTCTAAATCCAGTTGATGGTATCGTCTAAATCCAGTTGATGGAATTTACAGACAACAAATCCAGTTGATGGAATTTAGTAAGCACTTTTTGTTTTCGGTTTGATTTTGTGGAGAATTGGGAATCATCCCAATAATTTTTTAACTTGCTTTTGGATCATGGTAATCATCCAACTACCAATATTATTCTTCTTTTGATTTTTTTATGTGGTTATTTTTCTATGTGAGTTTTTCTGAGTTTAGGCTTAAGTTGCAATGATGTTGTGTATATTTTTTCTTTGTTAGGAATAGACATAATTTCTTTACTTGCATTTAGCTAAACCTTTCAGATTCACTTTTCTAAATTCTATACCTTTCAGATTCACTTTTCTAACACCTATAAAATTTTCATGACACATAAGCATTCAATTTTGCTATAGAATTGTTGGTTATCTTCTTCAACATTACCTTTAGTCAGGTAACTAATTGCAAATTTTGCTAGAAAGTTGTGGCGGTTGTTTTTGATGGTCAAATTTTGGATGTTCTGTAAAATGCCTCAATTAAAATAGTTTACTTTCTTATATAATTGTCCTTTTTTGTTGTTCAAATAGTGAGTAAATCTATCAAGCCAAGTAAATGGCTAAACAACCTTTCCTACAGAGAGTTTGATTAACCATGCTTATAACAAAAAACACAACCCAAAATTCTATTCAAAGCTCATAAAAAGTTTTAAAAAAATTTCACAAATATATTTTTTTTGTAATATAAAAAAAACAGAAAAAAAAAAAAAAAAAAAAAAAAAAGTGAGTGAATCCATCATAGTTTATTCTACATTCCCCCCAAACAGTGAATGATACATGCCTTGGATATTTGGAAAGATTAACAAAAATATAGGTATATTCAAATTGGTGAATCAATCAATGGGAGTTGGATCTTATTTTTAATAATAAACAGTGGGCAATTTTTAGGGAGTTGATTTTAGATAATGGATAGTGGATAATGGATAATGGAGCTTGCTTGCTTATATGTTTTATTCTTCCTTTTGCTTCAGGTACATATGCCTTGGGTTGAAGGTGTGTTTGATTAGCTCATAAAAAGTTGTTATGGCTTTGTTTGCTACAATGGTTGATTAGGTAATTGGTCTGCCTTCCATTGATGGATTTGTCAATAATTTGTTGCTATTCTATTGTTTAACTTGGCTTCATTTTACATGTTGTGAAAATTAAGAATCTTAAATTTTTACTAGCTAAGCTTCATTTTATTTGTTGCAGTTTATGTTTTTTGTTCAGAGATGGTAGAGAAACAAGAACCAAGAAAAGTGAATAATTGATTTTTTTTATGCTAATAATTTGGGTCTTCTATTTTAATTTTTGAATTTCATACTATTTTGATGATAATTATTGTGATAATTTTTATTGTAATTTTAAAAATTAGCATTGTTTAGAATGCCTTTATGGTTGATTTTATTATTTTTCAAAAACAAGATGTTTTAGTTTGTTTTGATTAGACTTGAAAATTTCAAGTTAGATAATGAATGGAAGTGTTGTGTGAGTCTATTAGTGAATGTTTCAGGAAATGGAGAGCAATGGCATAACGGCCCATTTAACAAGTGAGCCTTTTTTTTTTCTTCACAATTTTAGAAGTTTATTTATTGAGTTTCTTTTTATTGGAATTTTTCTTCTTGGTAGGTGATTTTGGGGGTGGAAGAGAAATTTAGATTATATTGATTCAATAGAATAACTTTGCATATTACTTTTTTTTACTTCCTTAACTCTACCAGTGCTTATAATCAATTAAAATTTTAATTTTAAAACTTAGACATTGTAGGCACAATTGTATATTCATTTTAAAATAGATGTGACAAAAAAATGTGGTTATAATAAATTAAATTTTTGATTGGATAGGTTAGAGTCAATTTTTTTTTTCTTCTTCTTCTTCCCTTTACTCCTGTGACTCTTAACTCAATATATTTTTGTTTCATTGGGTGAAAACCATCTGTTATTTTTTACAAGAGCTAAGCCTATTATTTCCTTCTTCTTTTTTTCCTCTCATTTTTTATTTTACTTTCAAAGTGAGGATTGTAAGTTCTGATAAAAAATAAAACAAATTATGCTTTCAGCTTTGCCAGTTAAACAATGCTGAGATTGGCTCAATGAGGTCTAGAAATAATTTGTTAAAAAAAAAAAAAACAGTAAAGAGGCCTAGAGTAACAAAAGTTAGTTTTAAGCCAATTGGCGGTTTTGATTTTTCTTCAAATATTTGGTTTTGGAACTACATTAATTCAGTAGACTATCTATGTTATTAGTTAGTCATCTTGGAGTAATGAGTGATGGCGTAAACTTACTTTATGCTTGAAGCAGTTTAAACCTGCTTTATACTTTTAATTGGATGATTATGCATAATGGTACCTCATAAGTGAAGAAGAATGTGGTTTCACTATCAACGCTTAATGTTTGTTTCAGCTATTCAAAAATAGGCACTTAAATAGCTTACAAAAGCCTAGGCCCAATTCAGACCAAGGTTTTTTAAATAGGCACTTAATATGGAAAGAAGGGTTTTGAATTTGTCTTATGTGGCAAGAAATTGTCTTAGTTAACAAGTGAAAGAATTAACTGATAGAATTTTTATACCCTTTTGAGGAGCCTTCTATTACCACTAGAATTAGAAAGTGGAAAAAATGACACAAACTATACAACATTTCAATATATATTTTTTTTAGTATCTTTATCAAAAAATGACATAAATTTTACAAATTTCAACATGATACATATAAATTACAATTATGTTTTGATCTTAACATTAGGCGTTGGCATACACTAATATATTGATATAGCTCATTCTCTTCTCTTTCCTCATTTCAATACACAGCTACACTACAGCATCAGCAAATGGCTCTGTTTCTCTCTCTATGCTCTGTTTTGTTCATCTTCTCTCTCTACAGCATCTATGCTTCCGCAACTCTTCCTCCTCTTCAACCACATCTTGATGGTAAGCACTGCCTCACTCCTTTTTACTTGCTTTATATACATCTCACATTACATCTCTATTTCTCTTTTTGGAAGAAATTGCTTGAATGTGATGTGGTTTAGTTCTGATTTGGTTTATAAATCAACAAAGTTTTTTTACTTTTTAGAGTAACTCTAGCACTACATTTTAAAAATTATAATGTAGTTATCCAAAAGGTGTGAGGCAACTTTAATTTTACTTTTTTATTTTATATATCAAAAGTATATATAAAATAATTTTACTTTTTAATTTTATCTCACAACTTTACCTAATATGTGTACTCCAACAACAATTGCTACTCATGAAATTAGTTTGCCTAGCTTTTAGAACTCTCTAAATGTAGATCCATTCTTGGTGAGTTTGGGACTAGCAAAAAAAAAATAGAGTTTTTCCTTTTAGTATTTTTTTTTTTAAAAAAAAAATGTGTAGAAAAAATTTACTTTTTCAAGTCAATCTACTAGATCTAAAAAAAAACAAACAAACAAACAAACAAACAAACAAAACAAAAAATTGAAAAAATTCTTCTAAAAGGTTCATTAAAAATAAAAAAGTCTTTCGTTTTTTTTTTTTCCCCATCTTAGTTGAATATAAAAATGTAATATTTTCTAAAAGGCTACCTATAATTTTTCCTTTTTTATTTTGAAAATTTATGCTAGACTCGAGAGTATTTTGTTGCAATTTCTACTTATAAAACAGAAATAAATTAAATAAGTTTAAAAAAATTGAACATAAAAATTGAAAGTTGAGAAATAAGTGCATTTGCCTTTATTGCCCATTTCACAAAATAGGCACATTTCTCTATCATCTTTATCCTAAATAGCATCCAAGTGGTAAACTCACATGAATATTATAAAATTTTATGTTCCACAGTTATCTTAGTAGTTTACATGGATTTTAATGTGTACTATTTGGGCGTTATTTTTATATATTTTTGAACAGTGACACTTTTGCCAAGTAAATTTTAAATTTTCTACTTTTTTCCACGATATGTACTATGAAAATATGTCATGTTCCTAAATACTCCTATCTAGACTTTATGTCCCTAAATAATTTTTTGAAATATATCATGTTCCTAAAGTAATCTTTCTTTTTTAATCTTTTTCCTTATTCATTCTAAATACTCTACCACTGTTCGTTGGATATGAATCTATAGGAATATGTTAGTTTTGATACTCATTTTCTTTGGAAAAATTCACAATAGTTTAAAGTTTGTAATATTTTATTTACCAGTGTGAGCACTTCCAAATTGAGGCATGAGTTATAGTTATAAAGTTAAATTCATGATTTAATTGTTAAGCTTTGTTAGAGGGCTTATTTAATATGATTTGAATTTTCTGGCTAGAGGATCATGTATATTTTTGGATCTCAATTAAAATATTATATTGTCCTTCGTCTCTCTTTTATCTTTAATTTGTATTTTTTAACCTTTATAATTAACATTGTTTCTAACTGGTTTGTTTTCTTGATGGGAACTCAAAGCAACATATTCATCCAAAAATGAATATTAAACACAAGGTAAACTTCTCACCTAATTTAAGTGTTTTTAGGTAAGAATATGGCTATGTAGGAGAGAATATTTAGGTGAGAATATGGCTACATAGCCATATCAGAAAATGAAAATGAAAATTATCTGATTATTAGGTGAGAATATTTTATGATTATTGACTACATAGCCCTGGGGCATTATTCAAAATACCCAAAAATGTGACATTTCATTGTGTTTTTAACTTTTATTTTTTGATTAATGTGATGAAATGAAACAAAATAAGAGAATCCCATTATTACCATTTGTAAATATATACCCAAAAAATAAATAAATAAATAAATCAAAGATCTCTAATAACGTGACATAAAGAAAAATTCCTAAGAACAAGCTGGTGCTTTGAAATCTTTAAGAGTTGCAAAAACAATAGAATTAGGTGCAACACTAATAGGGTTTGAAGCATGCACGAGCACTGGATACATAGTTGGTATATCCTTTGACTCCGTGAGCACCAAGGGGACACCATTTAACATCAACACATCACTTTGAATATTGCCATCCTTGGGAGTCAACTGGCACTCTTCCCTGTGGATTTGTTGTTGTTTATCATCATAGTTGTCAGGATAGAAGTTCAAGTCATCCGCAACCGAAACTTCATAGGTAGTAGAATTTGACATATTGATTAGAAGCAGTGAAATGCCCGACTGAGATAAAATAGAGTAAATGAATTTAATTAATGAAGTGATAGCTAAATGATATATTATTGAGAAGAAAGAGAAATTAAGCTAAAAAAGGTTAAGAATATTGCGCTTACTTCTTTACAACTAAACAAGTACTTATTTTCGAGTATTCATATGTATATATAATCATAAATATTAAAATGATGGCCATTTTTAGAATTTTTCATTGTTTTTGTTTTTCAAAAAAACTACAAACAGAAACACAACTAAATGGCTAGGAAAATTATTTGTTCTATGTCACATATCGGGGTCATATACTATCCCAGAAAAATATATAGTAAAGAAGAAAATCTATACCTTTTTCCCAGATCTCATGTCGATTTTATCTCACACTGCAGGGAATAAGTTATTCAAAGCTTGCAAATTTACCACCTATAGTCGGCCTTTGTGAGTATTCAACACCCTTACTCTATTTTTCTTGCTAATTAAGTTCAACAAACTATTAAATTCACAAGATTTGATAGTCTTTAATGTATTAATTTTACTTGAATTGGGTTTTTATGCAGACTCAAGCTTCGTGGGATGCAGATTTTTATGTGAAGGCAAAGTCATATTTTGCTGCTGCTGTTGCTTCATGGGATGCAGATTTTTATGTCAAAGTTGATGATGATGTTCATGTAAATATAGGTAAGAAATTTGTTTTTAGTACTTGATATAAAAATAAAAAGCATACATGAAGGTCTAAAATCCAATATATAGATGCAAGACACTCAATGTGTTACAACTTTTAAATTCCCAATCGGGGTAGAAACTTTAGATGCCCATGTTCATATGAACCTCTAAATTCAAATCTACGACTAATATGATTGATTAAACAAGTTTTACTTGAAAATGAAATTATATATGTTTGTAACTCTACAAATTATTTATTTATTTTGTTGCATTGGGTAAGATGTTGTAAATTTAGCAGCAACACTAGGAGAAACTTTGGCAAGATACAGGAAAAAGCCACGGGTGTATATCGGATGTATGAAATCTGGTCCTGTCCTTGCTCAGAAGTAAGTGGAATTTTGTCCTAAAATTCTTGCTGTTAACTGGATGTTGAGAAAGTGTTAAGCTTTTAGATGTCTTATTTGTGCACTCTGTGGAACAGGGGAGTGAGGTACCATGAACCTGAATATTGGAAATTCGGGGAGGCAGGAAACAGGTATTTTAGACATGTTACAGGACAACTATATGCCATTTCAAAAGATTTGGCTACTTACATCTCGATAAACCAATTAAGTTATACTCTCACATGGTGTTAAAAATAAGAGATCAAAAAAAGAAATGTGCATGTATCAATGAAGCCATTTTCGCATAGAGAGAGAAAGTGTGGGTTTTTGATGATGATACAAATTGTGATTGATTTGTATCTATATATATAGATATATCTTTGTAAATGTGTGTGTATATGTATGAGGAATTTGGGGATCCTAGAGGTGAGAAAGATGAAGAAAAATGAAAACCATGTCTCTGGAAATGTGTTTGTCAATTGTGATGCATGGGTCCTAGAGAGAGAGAATCTCTCCTTATCCTTTTTTTTTTTTAAAGTTAATTACACTTTTGACGAGGCACATCTGTCTAACTAGCTATATATTATACAAGTAAAAGTGAGTTTTTGTGAAGAGTTCTGTGAATTTAATCCTAACATTATTTTTTTAATCCTAACATTATTTACAACGTGCCTTCAGGCACGACCATACACTAGTAGATAAATAATACGTTTATTTTTTTCAATTCAAAAAAGATATTCAAGTTGAAAACTTTTTTTCAACAGAATATTTAAACTCTTTTTTAATTGAAAACACAAACAGAATATTTAAACAAACTGAAAATACAAAGTCTTATAAATTATTAGGGGTGCTCGTGGTTTGGCGGTTCGGTTACGGCCAAAGTAATCTCAAATCTGCCATCCGTCCGCCAGATTGGCAGATTGGAGAAAATCAATCCGCAACCGTCCGCTCGTCATCACGCATCCGTCCAAAATGCGGTGGATCGGATCGGTTCGGTTCGGTCGATTTTGATGGATCGGTATATCCGCTACTCACCCCTAATGTTGAGTGGTTAAAAACTTATACATATCCTCAATAAATTTATTACCCCTCGTTAAGTATCTCTTTTTTATTATTTTGTCTCTCTTTCTACAATATCTCTATAAAACTTTTCTATTTCTCAATAAAGCTCTTCTTCTTCTTCTCCTCCTCCTCCTCCTCCTCTTCCTCCCCTCTCTCTCTCTCTCTCTCTCTCACACACACACACACGCACATCAACGCCATACACTTTTCACCATCGTCTTCTTCATTTATTGCCATCACTGATGATTTCAGATCGAGCCATTTCTATCTCCGATCTTCATCGGTGACTTTAGATCTGGCCATTTCAAATGTTGATGTATTATTTTGGATGTCAATCTGGTACAGTATCCTTCATCCCTATCAAGATGTAGCCATGACATGGTCATTGGAACTCATACCAATGAGATCGTCTATGTGTGTGTACATATCGATGGATTTCCATCAATCTATTTGTGAAGATCTGGTTGAAACAGATATGTTATTGTAAATTTTGGATATTAATGAATAAATTTACAGTAATAAATTTATCAGTCTTACATTTATCACTGACTTTTATCATCTTCCTTCTGCTCCTATCTGTCTCTTGCCATCACAAGATCTAAGGAGGTAGTAGAAGTTGTAACGTAGTAAAGAAAGATGTTGTTTTTGCTAGAAAAAATAGTGTGATAATTGTCAAAAAACATTACCAAAAAAATATCACTAGAGGTTGGAGGTGTTCGCCAGTGGTTAGAGACAAGGACCAGAGATGATTGTTGATGAGAGAAGAGAGAGTCATGACAGTATTGATAATTGAGGATGCAGAAGGAGGGGGGGCATTTTGGAAATATTGATAGATGAAAAAAGGAGCATGACTTGTAGGTAAATAAGTCTAGTCAATAAGACATGCTCGTAAGTGTTCCTAAATTTTAAATATTCGAAAATGGATATTTTATTTTTACTTGAGTTGGAGGTTTCAGGGGATTTTATTTGCACTAAAAAAATCATTTAGTACATCAAATTTCTTAGTACTCACTATTAAATTATTTAGGATTATAATTTACTCTCAATACTTCCTATATATTTTCACAAATTACCGATAAAATCATAATTTGTGATACATCTGAATAATAAATAAATCAATTCAAAAATGACTATCTCCCGGTCTTCTCAGCAATGGTACTCCTACATTCTCGTCATGGGCAAATACTGAAAAGGAAAACCAAATGCAACAGTATTATTCTTGTCATTGTTGTGAATCCCGTTTGGTTACCGGACGTTACACACTGTTTTAAGAAGAAAGCAGTACAGTGAACATGTGAACACATTTTAGCTCATTTTCCAGCTAGTCCCCAACTACTTCGGACTACCAGCCTGATTCGCCCTTCTTCCGGCCATACCAATTGTTCTATTATTCACCATTGGCAAGAAAAAAAATAAAAATAAAGAGTTATTTTTCTTCCGACCACCATACCGGCTGCTTGCCTATTTCTTTTTCATCTAATGTTGATTCATCAATTCTTCTAGCTTTGTCTTCTTTGCAAACCTGATTTATGGTGAATTTTGGTGCGTGAATTGGAATTTTGGAATGAGGAAAAAGATGAAAAGAAAATAATTAAAATTTGAAAAAGAAGATGAATAAATTTAAATATCAAGAATATATATAAGTGATTATGATGTATCATGAGAAAAAATATATATATCTTGTATTTTAAAGTTTAATGTATACTGATCTTATTAGTAAACTTATATTATTATAAAATAAAAATTTAAATTTGACATATTGAATTATTATTTAAGTGTAAATAGAATCACTCGGACCTAGTGGTTTTTTATGAGAATAAACGTAGGCCGTTGAAAGCGGTTTTGGGCCAAAGGCCGATGATGGCTTACTGCCCAAATAGGTGGCATGGATGTCTTAAAAGCCCAAAAGAAGGCTCTTGAGCCCAATCAATTAAAATTGTAAAACAAATAATATTCGAGCTGGATTCATTTTGATACATTAACAGGTGTTTGTTTGGATAAATTAGATAAAGAGAGATTGTAATTTATTGGACTATTAATCTTCGGATATATTGTCTATGGACTATTTGATTGGAAATAATGTGGATCTTCTGTTTGTTTCTTGTGGCTAAATTCAATCTCTTGGTCCTTCAGAAAAGGAAAAAGAATTTCATGTTTATCCTGTCAAGAGAGGAGGATTAGCCAAATCCGATTCACCATGTTTGTTTTCAATTTTTAAAAGGATTTTTTTTTTCATATTTTTTTGCTTTTACTGATTTTTTTTTTAATATTTTAAGCATTTTTTTTAATTTTTAGACACACCTACCATAAATACACTTAAAAAGTATAATTTTTATTAAAAAAATCTTTAGAAAATTCACAAATTACCAAAAATTTAAAATAAAAATTCAATATATTTTTCGTACTTTTGTATATTTATTAATTTTTTAAAATATTTTTTTGCAAATATTTTATTTTTTAGATATATCTAAGTAAGGTGCATCTAAAAAAATATAAAAAAATTAAAATTTTTAAAACATTCACTAAAAATAAAAAAAATACAAAAAATAAAAAACTCAGTTCTAAAAAAATTAAATTCAAAAAACTGAAACTAAACCCACTAATTAATTCTTTTTTCTTTTTTCTTTTTTTTTTTTAGTTGCAAATTTTAGGTCCAAACACAATTTAAAAGCTTGTTCGACAATTTAAAATTGAACATTTTTGTACACTTGACAAGCTAAAAAACATTTTGAGGGAATATAAGAACTTTCCTGTAACAAAACAAAACAAAACAAAAAAAGAAAAAAAGAAGAAGATTCGAATCTAGGTATGACGTCTAATAAAAATGCATCTTGTTCACTAGATTACATTGAAAAATACATAATTGAATATTTTACATTCCTAGGGACTTCCAAAAGCCTAGGGTATGGGGTTGTTTGGAATGTGCTATATAAGTTTATTTTTTGACTTTTAGTTAAAAAAATAGAGAAAAAAAAAATATATATGTTTGAGATAACTTTTTAACGTTTTAAAAAAAAATATAATTTAAAATAATGGATAGAAATGTAAGTTTACTTTTATACCCCTACTTTTTAACCAATAAAGTTGCAAGATGTGTGATGAGACTTTAAGGTTCTGTTTGTTTATGTTTTCAAATTAGTTTTTTTACATCAGAATTTGAATATGATATTTGTTTAGTATTTTAAAATCACGTTTCGAAAGCTCTACGGAGAGCTCTGTCTCAGTCGCTTTTCAGAATTTTTTTTTGAAAATTTTGCCTGACGAGACGTCCGGCCGGTTGATCGAAATAGTGATTTTTTTTTTTTTTTGCAATTGATATGTTAATTTTTATATAATCGAAAATAACATTTTCGGAAATTTTTAAAATTTTTTATGTGCTTTAAAATAATTTTGAGTTGTATGTTTAGTAATGAGTTGTAAACTTTTGTATCAAATATCAAATGTCACATCAATAATTCCCCACTTAAATTAAAACTCTTTTCAAAATTATTTTCAGAACTCTTTGCCAAACAAATGTTTTACACTCAAATCATAATTTCAAACCCCACAAATTCAAAATATAACTCATGCTCTCAAATATAATTACAAAACACAACCAAATAGAGGCTAATTTTTTTTTTTTTTTTTTTATTTTCATTGGCCCTGCAGCGGCTGAGCAGTTACCACCTGTCGTTATAATTGCACGTCTTACAATCATAACACGCAATAAAAACAACCCTTTATCCATTTGTACTCAGGAATCTCTACCAATGGAGTACATTTTTTGTAATTTTACTTGTAATTTTTTTTTTTTTTTTTTTTGTGCTTTTGGATGTTGAATTTTTTTTTTTTGAATCGTCTTGTTTTTTGAGATTACGATTGTTGATCAAAAAATTTCACATTTCTTTTTAAAACTCATAATAAAATTAAAATTTTAAAATTCCAAAAATTTTGGGCTAATTACACTAACGGTCTCAATAGCTTGGACTTTGTGTCACTTTGATCATTAATTTTTTAAATGTGACACATTTGATTCTGAATTTTAAATTTTATTTCAAATAATGACAATTGAAGATATCATTACTCAATTTCAAGG